CTCAGAGGCATAACCACGAAACAAAACACAACTGCATAGTAAGAAAGGGCAAATGCAACAGAAAACGGAAAAAGGAAAACTTGTATATAATTTTTTCACTGAGTTTAAGGAACAGATTGTCTGAACAGTAGAAATTTATTTCGCATCTTTACACGCGACCTTTTGAGACTCAATAATGGACATACGTAATCTGTTTTTGGTTCAAAGTGTTTCGCATATAGCGTGGGGAATGTCACGTTTTTTTAAAATATGGAATCTTTTTTTGTTATAAAAAGCAGTTTATAATTTTCTTTTTGACAAAAAAAGTTAAATAACGTCCCAGTTTGCTTGAGCTTCTTGTTACAGCTTTGGTTAAATATTGATACCGTTTAAAAGTAATTAAGAAACAAAGAAATCCATTTTTTTCGATTCTAGCAGTGCTTTTGACGGCCAATGGATTAAAACGATTGAAAAATAAAGAATTCATAATGGTAGTACGCTGTGATACAATAACTGCTTCGTCCTTGACTGGAGTGAGGTGCCCATCAGAGTAGGTGCCCATGATGTTAAGAGCCTATGTAGAGCACTCGAAAATCAGAACGCGGCCCAAACATTAACCCGTATAGCAGGTGTTTCCGTCGTAGAGTGTGAACAAGTGAAGTCTGCTCACGCGAAACTAGGGGCAAGAGCAAAAAAAAAGACGGAATTGGAGGTAACTTTGTCAATATTTTTGCTCTAGACCCAATTTTCGCATGGCCAGAATGTTGAGTGTTTGAACAAGAGCGCTTGCTACTACCGCTTGCTATGCAAGCTACCTAAACATCAAGCACCGCACTCTTATTTCAAGCTCTTCGCCCACGAAGCTCAACAGCGTATAGAAACAAGCAAGGAATATATTTCGTTTCACTTCTACAATACCAGTGAGAATTGAATCAGGCAAAGGCCTTTGCATTCAGATTTAGCTCTGCTAGAGCTTTTTATTCATTGCGTGACAGATTATCTAAAATCCCGGACAAAAGTATTTAGGACACTTAGGCTGGATCACTTATCCCCACCCTCCCCCAATCAAGGTTGAAAAATATTACGTTTGTTTCGAGAAAAAAGAAAAAAATTACCTGATTATCGACATTGTAAGTGGGGGGACGGGAGAACTTGCTTGGTGTCCCAATAGTTTTGTCCGGGATTGTAAGTCATTGAATTAATTATGTGCTGTTTTTGTCTCCAGGTGAACGCCTTTTATCGGAGTTTTGTACTTTGGTTGTGTTTATAGTCTGAGGTGGCAAAACAAAATGTTATTTAAAAACCCAATGGTACCAGATCTGTTTCGTGAAGTAGCTCAACATACCTTTGATATTACCATGCAGGTACGGAAGAGCAGTGAGTGTCCGAGCTAGTAGACAGATGCCCAGCAGCTATAGTGATCAGAGCTACGTGGCACTAAATACTGAAGCATATGACGACTCCCTTGATGATGCTGCCTTGCTCCGCCCTCAACCTGATGAGGACCAAGACTTGATGTCTTAATCGCCCATTACCAGGGTACTTTTTACCTGTCTTCCTCGTATGATAAGAGAGGAGAACCGTTTTTCTTCCTTGACCTAACCAATCCGCGAGAGGAGAGCCTGCTGACAGGCTATTGTATTTCACATTTACCCCCAATATTTACCTGGCATATCATTATAACTAGTCGACAGCTATATAGATTCCATAATATTTCATAGTTTTTTTTATATAAATGTTGGCTGTAAGCGTAAGAAAAATATAGTGCTTAGCCAAGTACTGTGGAATTTTTCCACTGAAAGAAAGTATAGAGTAAATTGCCTCTTGCTAGGAGTGCTTTAGCCTTGTAGTCAAAAGTCTGCTTCCTTTGTATGACAAGTGACAAGAGTCCTTTTTTTCTCCTTCCCTTTGGTTCCCTAATCTCACAGAGGAGAACCTCCTGACAGGCTATATATGCCACATTTACCAGACTTATCATGATAGAACCAGTCAATAACTATGTTGATCCTATGAGATTTTTTTTAATTTTGCTAAATGCTGTCTGTTAGCCTAAAAAATCTTAATACTAGGGAGCTTAAGCGAACCACCACGACGACGGCAACGAGAACGTCACCAAACAAAGGTTTAATGAGCAAAACAATAGCTGTGCACGTGCGTTATAAATCGTACATTCCTTTGCCGTCCTCTGGAAAACAACAACGTGAAATGACCAAGTTTTGCGTCGTCTACGGAACGTGGACGACGACGGCTAATTTTTCGTATTTCCATTTGGAATTGAACGCCGTCGTTGCATATTTAGCTTAAGGACGTCTTTAGAGCCATTGGCGTACCGAACAGATCTGGACAATCGCGAATTTCGCTTGTAAAATATAAATTCATTTTTTACCAGGCGTCCTCTGCGTCGTCGTCGTCGTCGTTGCTTAAGCTCCCTACTGGGTAATAGCAGTGGACACTTTCTACAAAGAGGGCATGTTAACTGTTGTATACTTACTGTTTTTTGTTTGTTTGTTTTGAAAAAAGGGGACCTACTGCAATCTACCATTTTCATATTCTCGGTATTGGACTGGAACTAGCTTGCAATGGAGGCTCATACGGGGGAATATCATTAAAAAGAGATTAATGTCATTTGCATTTGAAAAAGACTCCCTGCATTAGCCTCAGTTGCAAGCTAGTTCCAGTCTAATACCGAGAATACGCAAATGGTCTGCTCCGAGACAATTATGCATGGGAAAATTTACTTTTTCTATTCCTTCGTTGCACCGTGTAATGTTTTCTGGTGACATCTCTATTGCTATTTCTTACATGTCAGCTTTCGGATGCTAGGTTTCAATAAGAGTTCTCTCATAGAAATAGCTACGACTTTTCAAAGCTGATGTAACTAGATAACGACTATTAGTCAACGGTTGGTAATCACATGATTTTCAGTGCATTTTCAAGTAAACAAGATCTGTTAGATCTTATAACCGCGCTTTTAAAATTTAACTGTTTTCTTAGCACTACAGTCGTAATGCAGTGCACATTCGAAAGTAGTCCTTGATTATTCATTGATTACTGTAGACACCACATCACTTGATCAACACAAACTGTACTATTGCACCATCAGTCGTACTCGTAGCCATTGTGAAATTTCCGTTGACGTAATGTTCTTAATATGGAACTTACTTCGGAATATGTATGGGCATGAACGATACGAACGCAACAATAATAACACTATTAAAAGTCATGATTAAATTTAATT